TCGCTCGCTCCTCGACTTGTGCTCGGGGACCGCCGACCACTCTCCACCACGGCTTGGGGACTTTAATGCGTCTCGACTACATGCGGTGGTGACTCACATACAGTTGGGATATTTTTTTTCACTTAGACCTTGCTACAAGGCTCATACCTCGCCCTTCCAAAGCAAGGTCGGGACTACATCGGTATGATGCACCGCTTGGTGCATCTTGTATCGCTTGTAATGACGACTCGTTTCTCAACTTAATCGGGAATTCTTTTTAGACCACGCACCACGTGCCTCGTCACCTACTACCGAACTCGGGGACTAAGTGGGCACACTTCACCTTGCGGTGAATGTGTTTGTTTTTCGACCCCTCGCCTCGATGATCAAGGACGCTCACGCTTCAAAACGCACTTACATTTCTTTTCGTAAATACAAGTGGGCACACTTCCTAGGGACGGAAATCTTTTTTTTTCTTCTTAAGAGCACCATACATTCTTCGGACAACCTATTTCTCCGGCGACAAGCGGGTGGTCGGAGATGTCAAGAACTCAAGCCTCAATGCTCGGGAGAAGGTTGAAACAGCGTGTCGCATCGTAATACATGACGCTTCGGGGACTAGCCGTGGGGATATACCCCCGGGTACCACAAGATGGTACATGGGCCGCACCATCCGAGGTGGTCCGGCCCGTAAGATCAAGGCGTGCACATCAAGATTACAAGTTGTACTAGATATTGTGATAGTACCAAATTGGATACTTTACTTGTAACCTTGTCTCTTCGGAGTATATAAGGAGAGACAAGGGTCCCCCAGAGGACAGGTTAATCTTTATACATCTCAATACAATACACCAAAGACACAGGACGTAGGGTATTACGTCGATAAGACGGCCCGAACCTGTCTAAATCGTTGTCTCTGCGCCTTGTGTCACAATCTGGTTCCTGATTACACGCACCGTCTATCGATAATCTACCACCACGGGCACCCCCCTCGGTGGACTGCCGACCATATTTCGTCGACACACACCTTATTGCTATGAGTACCATTAGCATCGTCACCACAAACGGTCTTGTTATCGACACATCGTCTACCAATTAAAGAACAACGTCGTTAAATCTTCGAATAAATCCAGTAAAATGCGAGTCAAGTCAAGGACTTGGAATCCACGTGAGTAGGTTCTACCACAATGAACCCAACTAACTGAGTTAGGTTCAATTTACTTCTACTTCTAAGTCTAATAACTAATGCTTATAGTCAAGTTAATGTTTGCGGGAGATTGAATAGTGTTCTGTTGCTGGTGTATTACTGCCATGAACTCATCTGCAATCAGGTGAGCACAAGCTGTGAGATACCTATACTGTTCTGCTATTGTGCTTGAAAAATACTAATAAGAAAAGATCCATGACGTAATGCGTGTGTTTATTTATCTTTGTATAATTAACATGTATTCTATAATCTCGTTTAATAAGATTGAATAGGAAAATATATTTCTAGTAAAAAAAAGTCTCGATATGTTTAGCTAAAGGATAAATATAGTGACAACTTTTGCAAAGAAATAATGTTGATTAAGATGTGTTTCATGTCTCCTGGGTACTCAACAAACTAACCACCATTATTAGCTCAGGCAACTTGTGCAGGCACGAGGCGCTTGATTTCAGTGGCCTAGCGGAGGATCCACTTGCCTGGCACAGACAGCCAACCAGGACATGAACCAAACATAGCGCATCCAGGATTCAGGCAGCAGAGAGGCTAGGCAAAATTGCTTCAGGCTCCCAACCAAACAAGTTCTACATGCAAGGGGCTATGCAAAATTTGGTTTTGATTTAGAGCCATGCTTATTAATATATCCCTCAAGCATCTTTCTGAGTTATATATCCTGGGATTAAACATCTATGTATACATCCCAACTCATGAACACCAGGAGTTCAATGGCCATGTGAGAAAAGCCTTGATTTTCTATTGTTTGTGACATTAAGTTTTGTATTGATTGAGATTTTTTGTGTTCAAAACTTATGTATGTTATAACCATTTTTTTATATAATGTCCCCACACTCCTGGACCCTAGTGCATGGATGACCATCCTTTTGCTGTGTGCTTTTACACGGGCTTGAGCTATGTTATGTGAAGGGACCGTGACGTCTAAGAGCAGAGTAAATTAGGCAACTTAAAACTAGTGGTCTCTAACCTACTTATCAAAACATATGCAAGATATTATCTAAATGTGCACTAAGGTTTTGCTGAGTGTTAGCTATCTTTAATGTAGAGTCAATTGGCGTTGACATGCCTCCGTTCTGAAACCCACATAGATGTTGTCAGAAAACTTGCAGAGTCAATTGGCGACATTTGTTCTGCACTCGGCATTTGAGAATTAGAAGAACTTCTTCGAGCCATACATAAATTTGTTGCACAACCACAGTAAAAATTGTTCCAAAACACATGTATTTCTAAAAAAAATCAAGAGGAGGTTAAAAACCCACTGAGCCTTCAGACTTCAGTGCAGTGCAGTGCTACTCTTTTGTCCATTCAGTGTAGTGCAAATGTACAATAATTCATATATAGTCCTATATAGCTTGTGCAACGTGCACTATGGCGTCTGACTGTGTTGCCATCCATTGCTGCATGCTGCCTACAACTAGAAGCACTAGGGCGTATCTACTTTCTTCAAGCGACAAGGGTCTATTTGGTTGCTTGCCCAGACAAGTTTGCCTAGCCACAGGTCAGGTAGCAATCCAAGCCATTTGTGTCTGGTGGCTGTTGCATGCCAGAACATTCCAGCGAAATGACCATGGTTAGGCTTCGTGATCTAGTTTCTGGTTCAGTTTGTATTTCCGGCTTAGTTATTTTGCTATAGTAACTTTATCAGTGTTAGATTAGTCTCATATATGTGTTGTGTATGTGAAGCCAAGTGTCTGAATTGTGTTTTCCTGAAGGAAAAAAAAGAATGCCCGGCCGTACCAACATGACACTTGACAGCAAGCACTTGGAAAAAATCATGTCTGTCACAGACATGGCAGCACGAGCAACAGGCTAACAAACCAAACCAACTTTCTGATTCTGAAGAAACAACCAAAATGCACGAGGCTGTAGTCCTGCACCTATAGCTAGGGTTGGGTGAAGAATGCACGGGCTGGTGGGCTTCACAGAAAGAGGTTGAGCTGAGCTGATGTGACAGTGAAAGTGACACCACCCTGGGCTCGGCTGGAGTGATGAGGGACAGGAACCGGCAACAGAAACGATTCGTCACGCGTGCATTTCCTTCCGGTGGTTACAACAGCACTGTCATCTAGTAGTAAGGACCTCTAGTTGTAGAAGATGCATTGTGTGCGTCGAGTCGATCAGCCATCATCGTCTCTTGTGAATTGTGAGGGGGTCGCCTCTGGTCCAGATCATGGGCAGCCAGAACAATGTAGACTGTAGTGTAGTGCCATCTGGACTCCTGAAGGCATGCATGGTGACAAAGCCCACACTGTCAGATACACCATGTTTTGAATCAGTCAGATACACCATGTTGAGAGAATATGTTGCAGCCACTCAGCCAAACCTTGTACCAGCTGCATATATATACTTACAACTAAGGATGAAAACGGTCGAACTCGGTCAAAAAACTCCTCAACCGTTTTCTACTTTTACATTTGAAATACGAAAGCAAAAGCGAAAAACGGACAAGCCGGACACGAAAACGAACACGAACTTACGAGAATATCTAGAATTTCGGAAGCGAACCAATTCGAAAGCGGAATTATATCGAACACAATTGGGTATCACGAAAAATTCAATAAATGAAATACCGACCCACGGTGCATAGCATTAAACAAGTGCACGACCAAATACATAACAAGTTCACAACTAACAAGTGCATGATCTAGTTCAAGTGTATAGCATTAAACAAGTGCACGACTAAATACATAATAAGAGAGATGAAATTTGGCGCCGTCTATAAGAGAGGGCAGCTAGCCACCAGAGAGAAAGAACGCAGTAAGTGATGAATGAAAGAAATAATTCCAATAATTGAAAACTATATATGACAATGCAGTTAGCCAAATTCGGTTTAAACCGAATTTTGAATTCTGAATATTTCAAATTAAAAGTAGAAAAGTAGAAAACGCGGTCGAAAAATGTAGTAAACCGCTTTCTACTACTTTTACATTTGAAATCTGAAACATCTCCAATGCGAAAGCGAAAACGGTAAAGTCGGACAAGAAAATGCGGATTCGATCGGATTAAATATAGAAAACGATGCGGTTCGGTTCGGGATATTTCCGTTCCGTTTTCATCCTTACTTACAACAGGGCACATCAACAAGACAGAATTGCAAGCCGATTAGCACCTGTCTGTATCTAAATACCTTGTCCCAATCCTAAGCAACGCAAAGGAATCAAATCAAATCAAATCAACACCAAGCAAATCGAACAAATACATACAGCTGGTCCCTCCTTGGATATATATGCTTCTTTGGGGTGCCATATCTAATCTTGACACCACATTCTTTATGGGAATACAATGAATGCGACCATGCCAACAATAATCTAAAAGTTTCAGCCGGAATAATGGCATAAGAGACTGTACACCCAATGTGGATTTAGGACCATGCCAACAAAAATCTAAAAGCTTCAGCCGGAATAATGGCACAAGAGACTGTACACCCAATGAGGATTTAGGAGTTCCCAAGTCCAGCTCACAAGAACATTCCTCTTCCCTTCTTCACAAGGCAGGCAAAGCACAAGAGACAGCTAATGATTGGCAACAACACCTCACCTTCTGCTATTATTTCTTTCGCTTTCCTTTGATAAACAATGTATACCAATTTACAGGTTTCATCTGGCTACAAATCAAAGAATACAAGAACCCACCCACCCACCCCCAGCCGAGCTCACCAACCTAGCATTTTCCTATATATACATGGCAGTATAACAGGTATCTTGACTTTATACCTCCAAAAAAAAATTAAGACAGACCTGCAAGTTAGCCTAACCTCTCACCATGTCAGCCCCTAAGCACCCCATCCCCTTACTCACTTCTGCTACACTTCAAGCCTGACTCGCGTTTTGATCGGCTTTAGCTTCACCCCCATGCTCTCAGGTGACAGGAGATCCGGCGATATACAGAATGGGCTCAGGGGGCTCCGCGGGCTGCAGTCCAGCTGGCTAGGCCTGTACAGACCATATCCCATGAAGAAGTACTCCATTGGTATAAGCATTGCGTGTGGTTGCTCCTCGGTTACGAGTGATCCGCATGCTTGGACCTGCAATGCATGCCAAATTGCCAGACTTGGTGTTTAGAAACAAGTAATATTTAGATGTTAGAGAGCGTTTGAGATACAGGCAAACATGTAGATGATTGTTAGTTACCTCAACTAGAGCACAATATCTCCTGTCGAGCTTCGATGTCATGTGAACAGCCTCGGTGTGAAACTGAGAATTCTCGCCGACAAAAATCAGGGTTCTACACTGAAGCTGCTTTAGCTGTTCAGTCAAGTCATATCTCCTGAAAATCAATTAAGTATGGTAACTTCCCCTCAATTCGGTATCGAGTTTTTCCACTGCATAATCATCATAATATATACAAGTGTGAAATTACTCACTCATTCATCGTCTGTACAAAGCGCCATACATTCATGCTCTGCCGCTGATCTAGCAACTACAAGATGCAATAGAAGATGTTAACACTTTATATATTAAAATAAAAGCAGAACAATTAATAAAGTGAAAGCTCTGTGGTACTTACGCTTTTACAAGCCTGCACTATGTCTGATTCGGGTAATTCAGAGAATCCTCGCACTTCCTAAGGAGTACAAGATATCATAAGAAAATATTCAAGATCAACAAAAGAAATGCAAGTTGGATAAAATCAAAATAACTCATCTACCTTGCTGAAGTACCGCTGAAGTAGGCACTCCTTCACCAACCCACACATCCCATAGTAATACAGCAGATTGGATGTCACCTGAGAATATTACTGTGTTAATAGAGTCACTTTTGATAAATATGTAAATCAGAGGGTCATAGAGTCATTTGCAGCAAAGCTACCTTACTGTATAACCACTCAGTCCAAGTGGGGCCTTTACATAGAGGTGAAACAAGGATAAGACCTAGTACCCGTTCCCTATACTTTGCCTGAAAAAGAAGATAATTCAATAAAAAAATTATGGGCAGGCAATAAATATAACACACTAATTCTGAAGATGCACATACCGCAAACAGAGTTAGAATGTAGGCACCTGCAGTGACACCAAAGCACATAACAGAACCTAATCTGGAAGGAGCAAATTAAACCAGACAACATAAGATTACTCCAATCATTTGATATTCTTTTCAGAATTATGAGATAATTTCATAAAGGATTTACCCAAAGAAATCGAGGACATCTGCAACCTGATCTGCCAAGTCATCAACAGATGGTATAGGAGCATTTGGCGAAATTGGAGCAGCTCCTAACTGCATGGTTCTCAAATGAATGAAATAAAAAAAGCACTAGTGAGGCCATAGCACTACAAAAGCATGATAACATTATGGACAAACACATGTTTTATTTCTAATATAATGTTACCTCATGTCCTGGAGGGCTAATATGGTAAATGCAAAAATTATGAAGCAGCAGTGAAGCAGCTTCAGGACAGAACAATAGTCCTTGGAAGCAGGACATATCTGACAAGTTATAACAAGGAGACGAGTGATTAAAAATTACTGGAAAAATTTGCAGGGAGAACTGGTATACTTTAAACGAGTGGGTAGTACTTACGGTTTAAAGCAATATCGGGATAAGTAACAAGGGCAGGCTTGTCATGGTCACCATACACTGCAACAGATACAGGTCCATGACTCGTTTGTATATGGTGTTCCTGAATAGACAAGAAGTAAAACATGTCAAAAAAAAAAAGGACAAAAAGCTAGTGAGAATTCCTAAAGAGAACTTCATCCAGCAGGAAGACTGAAATTTCCCACATTGCAATTTACACAAGAAAATAAGAAACAACTATTGTTTACAGTTGTAGGCATGAATCCGCTGATGCTGGCAGAAGACATTTCTACCAACAACAACAACAACAACAACAAAGCCTTTAAGTCCCAAACAAGTTGGGGTAGGCTAGAGTTGAAACCCATAAGAAGCAATCAAGGTTCAGGCACGTGAATAGCTGTCTTCCAAGCACTCCTATCTAAATCATCTATTGTTTGAGGCAAGTAAATGCACCATATGGCAGTCTATTGATGACGTGGTTGTAGATTATACCATGACCAGCAGTGCATCAATCAAAGTAAAGCTATATAAATCCATATAATGCTTAACAGTTAGGCCGCCATGCACTTTCTGTGTCCATAGTTCATACTACAACTAAGCTGTGGTACAGCACAGAAACACCATGCAAAGAGAAATGGTCTTTTAAACCCGGTCAAGAAAGAAATTAGGTGACTATTTCCAATCTCTATTTTCAGGGGAGCAAACTTGGCAGTCCTCCACTGACGCTTCAACCTTGAAGGCAAGTATTTCTCCCAAATGACGCAAAGGTGATGACTTCATGATGGAAGGATCTCTGTTTTCCGTATATAATACTAAAAGGCTGACAAGATGCTAGCAAAAGAGGAGGAGAATATAATAGTTTCATTATGATGAAAGTGGTGCTAAAGTGATGGTTCCACAACCGTTGCCTTCTAGGACAGCAAAGAGAAGTGGTACAGATCATAATTCGAACTACAGATGATTCCTCCAACATAACACAAGCAACATAACTAGATTTGTCAAGAAAAGAATATGCCAAGACCAACAAAAATTATAGTTGCTTTCTGTCACAGGAAGAGCCGATTGCCACATAAATATTGTACTGAGGAATGGTTTGACTGCCAGCCCACAAGCATACCATTGAAAGTTAAAGAAATTCACATCGAAAGGGACTTGTAAACTACACTAAATTTTTTCACCCTGTTTAATCAGGCACTAGTCCACAGTCAAAGAGGAACATCTGTCCAAACTGCATGAAGTCTTCCTACGGCAAAACGAGTTTCAGGTAAACATTTATATTAAAATTAACCGACAGCAAAAAAAAATTAGATACTTGTTATTAATAACAAAAATTAGTTACTTTTTATTTGTGAAATACAGGCAGTGACCGATTTCCAAAGCGGTCGGCCGTTCGCCGAGTAAGGAATTCGCTGAGAGAAACCACTCCACGGAGAACCACCAAACGAGCCCAACCAAACAAATAAAGAACTAGACAGTTTAGGAACCCCTGCTGAAACAAGAGGTACAAGAAAAGTGGTGGTTAGGACACCGAAGCTGCACGCAAGAGCGTCGGGCCAGAATCTTTAGCGCTAAAATCGTGTGATGAAGGGCCATAAGACGCACACAATACAAGCGATTGAGGAGCTAGATTACGTCAACTAACTAGGCAGCCAGGTTGGATACATGGAGCAAACCAAACGGCCAGGCAAGAACAGTCAGGTCCGATGGGAAGGGGGGTGGATATTGACATGGGGGGACGTTACGTAGGCAGACGAAGACCGCCGGAGACGCGGCGGCGAGGAATCCGCCATCTCGCAGCTAAAAGGAAGGCTGCTTCTGCTTCAGCAGCCGACGAAATGCAGCTTCACGAATCGCGGGTCGCAGGAGCAAGTGGTGGAAACATCAAAAACCATGCCAAGTATATGCGGCGTGGCCGCGTGGGCTGCTATTTGTTTTATAGGGCCATAATAAAAAAAGATGAATTCTATCCGGACTTCGTAATCCGAGTGGATAAGGGGAGGGAATCGGTATCCATGAGCAAGAACGCAACAAAACGAAACAACTTCGCTGAACTGACCAAATGCCGCGGCAGAAACGCAAACGCAATGTAACCCAGAAAATCCGATTACGACCGGGGCCACGAAATTCAAGGGCCCAATCCCTCCTCCGCCCCAAACCACCAGTAGATAGCACCAAGCTGGCGTCTTTTCAACACCTCGTGGGCCGAAGGTCCGAGACCCAACGACAGCAAGAACAGGAGAAAACAAAAGGAATTCCCATGAGAGCGCTGAAACAGCCGAGAAACAAAGAATCGGGGAGGAGGAGGGCGAGGGTCGTTGTAATTGTACGGACCTTGCCGCCGAAGGAGATGCGCTCGACGTCGACCGACACAACGGAGCCGCCGGAGTCCCCCATCTCGGGCGCCGCCCCGCTCGGACGCCGCAGAGGAGAGATGGCTGGCCCGGCCTGCTCTGCTCAGGCCCGGCCGCTCCTCTTCCTCCCTATAAATTGCCTCGTGCGCCCCTCCCTCCCCGGCTTCTTCGCCTGCGTTGCCGTCGCTTATAAACGACGGAAGGAAGGAGGGGCAGGCGGGCGCACAGTCTCTCTCTCTCTCTCCTCGGCGCCCCCCTTCTCTCTCCCTCTCTTCCCTTTGGGCCTGCCTTTGGGGGCGGAGGACTTGCCTTTCGCTGTCCTATATTCGCTCCGCCATTCCTGCACTTCCCTATTATTGCAGCGCAGCCCCCCGTTGTAGATTTGATTACTCGCTCCATTTGGCATGTTAACGGACGGGTAAAACAGTCCACCGTATGACTAGCTAGTTCATGGGATGTCACAGGATTCCACTGTCCCCGCGAACAAAATTAGATACTTGTTATTAATAACAAAGAAATGATAAATGCTTAATCCAGGACTAAAAAAATGGACGGAGAAGTCACCTACCACTGGCGATTACCAAGATCACGTCGGCATTAGGTTTTGGGCTTTCGGGGGATTTCCATGGCTTCTGTCTTAGACTAGCGGTACCGGTGGTCAAGACGGTGACGGAACAGTGGAAAAGGTCGGTTGAGTGGTGCAGGCGGTAAGGACATCAGCCAAGGAGGAAGAGTAGGATGAGTGTGTGAAAGGTCCTAATGGCTAGAGAGGATAAATAACCTATTAAAAATTTTTACAACAACATTAAGATAAATGATTAGTCAATAAAATGGCGAAGCGAATTTTGCGCTAGCATTATACTTGGGGTTACAAGACACCTATCCAATTCTATTTTGTATAGTCTCTATCCACACAATGGCTATGTTGCTACACTAAGTTAGTGTGCTCTCAAAAGCTAACTAAAGAGCCACACTAACTAAGCTAACAAGTTCTCACGATTAGCTACACTAAAGAGCTTGACAACTAGTTTGCGGTAATATAAAGAGATAGAGCAAGATGGATATACCGCCGAGTCGAGGAATGAACCAATCAATCATACGGATGAATACCAATGAATACCAATCACCTCAGAATCAAAATGATAACACAATGATTTTTTTATCAAGGTTCACTTGCTTGCCGGCAAGCTAGTCCTCGTTGTGGCGATTCACTCACTTGGAGGTTTACGCGCTAATTTGCATCACACGTCAAACCCTCAATAGGGTGCCGCACAACCAACACAAGATGGGGATCACACAAGCCACGAGCAATTCACTAGAGTACCTTTTGACTCTCCATCGGGGAAAGGTCAAGAACCCCTCACAATCACCACGATCAGAGCCGGAGACAAACACCAACCTCCGCTCGACGATCCTCGCTGCTCCAAGCCGTCTAGGTGGCGGCAACCACCAAGAGTAACAAGAGAATTCCGCAGCGAAACACGAACAACAAGTGCCTCTAGATGCAAACACTCAAGCAATGCACTTGGATTCACTCCTAATCTCACAAAGATGATGAATCTATGATGGAGATGAGTGTGAGGGTATGGCTAAGCTCACAAGGTTGCTATGTCAATGCAAATAGCCAAAAAAGTGAGCTAGAGCCGGCCATGGGGCTTAAATAGAAGCCCTCACGAAATAGAGCCGTTGTACCTCTTCACTGGGCACTGCTCGGGGTGACCGAACGCTCCGGTCAGATCGATCGGACGCACCCTGCCAGCGTCCGGTCAACGGATGGCTGCCATGTCATCCCTCTCTTCAAATACTAAACACCTGATTCCAACGGTCAAGTGATGACCGAACGCAACACAGTGCCACGACCAGACGCAAGACCCCAGCGTCCGGTCACTTCCAGTAAGGTTCCAGTCGTGACCGAACGCGTCAGTTGGATCACGACCGGACGTAGGACCCCAGCATCCGATCACTTCCAATAAGCCTCCACTCGTGACCGGACGCGTCCGGTCATGCTCGGCCGGACTCACCCAGCGTTCGGTCACTCACTGTCTCCTCTATGCGCCGCCACGTTAGCAGGACCAGACGCACCCCGCCGGCGTCCGGTCACGAAGTGACCCAGCGTTCGATCGAAGACCGACGCCAGCGTCTTCATTGCTTCCACTGACCGGACGCTCCGATCCAGTTGAGACCAGCGTCCGGTGCAATATGTGAAACCCTATCTTTTCTGTACAGGGCGCCGGTGGCATCGTCGGACTGTCCGCACTCTACGGGTGGACACTCCGGTGAAGTTTTTTACCCTTGCTTTCAAGTGCTAAACACAATGTGTATCACTTTTGTGCATGTGTGTTAGCATATTTTCACAAACATTTTCAAGGGTGTTAGCACTCCACTAGATCCTAAATGCATATGCAATGAGTTAGAGCATTTAGTGGTACTTTGACAACCGTATTTCGATACGAGTTTCACCCCTTTTGATAGTATGGCTATCGAACCTAAATGTGATCACACTCGCTAAGTGTCTTGATCACCGAAATAAAATGGCTCCTACCACTTATACCTTTGCCTTGAGCCTTTTGTTTTTCTCCTTCTTCTTTTTAAGTCCAAGCACTTGATCATCACCATGGCATCACCATCATCATGTCATGATCTTCATTTGCTTCACCACTTGGAATGTGCTACCTATCTCATGATTATTTTGATAAACTAGGTTAGCACTTAGGGTTTTATTAATTCACCAAAACCAAACTAGAGCTTTTAGTGTGGCGGCGGAAGCGATGATGCACCACCGGAGCCTAGGGAGTGGAGGAGGCAGCGAAGCTTGTGCCAGATCTAAAGAAGAGGCTCGGGTTTGGAGCAATTGGGGTCAAGGACGACAATGGGAGTAGTGGAGCTAGGCAGTGTGGGGGGGGGGGAGAAGAGAAGGTGTGTGAAAGGAGGAAGACGTGGAAGGGTGCGAGCCAAGGTCTCTTGACTAGCGCATGCGGGTGATACTGCAACCCTTGAAGAATATATTATCTTTTCTTGGGACTAAATTTTTATAAAATCTACTTTCAAACGAAAATAAACAATAAAACTAAGCGACACTTAGGGTCACTTTTGGCGGGCCTTTTGAGGTTTGGGGTTTTAGCTTCACTACTACAACTGCATTATAGCACAAGAAGCCAAAGGAGCCCAAGTTTGTTGAAATCCTACCAAACAGCCCCTCAATTATCCTATATTCTTTTGGCAGCCTGAATTCCCCTCATTAGATGTATTAGTGTGATTCAGCACTCATAAGTTTTTCCTAGTATGAAAATATTGTGGTAAGGCATCGCATGACTAAGCTTAAGTTTAGGGTTTAGAGTGACGAGGTGGCACGCTAGAGTTGCAGGCTTGCAGCAATATAAAGGTGATGACAATGGGTGGGAGGTCAAAGGAACAACTTGGTACAAAGGTGGCAGGTGATGATGAGCCGATGGCAGGGAGCCACAAGAGATGGAGAAATAGATGGAGTGGGATGTCACTCTTTGCTTAAACCTTGTTGCTATGGTAAAAATGGCTAGAGGAAAGACTACTTCTAGGAAGTAGAAAATATGCTATATCTATTGAATTATTATACTGGAAATGCATGAGCATATGATGGACATATTGGAAATAAGACCTCAAAGTTGACAAATAGAATACAAACTGCTTGTTGGGTTCATTGTGGTGGAACCTGTCCACCTAAGTTAAAATACTTGGCTTGACGTGGGTGTTCGCATTGCCTGAAATAAGCTGAACATCAGATAGTTTTTTTAGGAAAAAAGTATCTAAGACCATGTTTGGATCCATAAAGCTAATAGTTAGCTCGTAATAATTAGATCATTTAAATCTAATCGGGTCCAGTTAATTGTTAGCTAAATACCAACTAACAATTATGTCACTAGTTAGACCAAACCAGCTAATAACAACAGATAGTTAGTTCACAAAATGTTAGCTAGCAGCTAAAAGATCCAAACATAGACTAAAGATGCACGTACTTATAAAACACAAACAAACGTACGTGTACAGTTGGACACACTCGATCACCATCGAACCATCCTTTGTGGACATGAAGTATTCCATTGGTGGTATCCTGGTAACATCATTGTTATTGACTTCCTGCCATCCCCGGGCCTAATCACTCCAGAGATTAGCGGGGAGATTGGATGCTAAAGCGAGCTATTACTACATACAAGCCCTAAGCGTCGTGTTGCAATTCAGAAACAAGCCAGGGGGGGCATTTGTAACTTTCGAATCAACATTTCCCACGGAGACGACCTCAGGTGTGGAAGTGCAGGCTGGAAGGAAGCACCGACGGTTCGCTTGTTTTCCGGCCTCGCCGTGGCTACCAGCCTACCACGGGTGACCGCACCGCACTAGAGCTGGGGCGTGGGGGGATCCGGGCCGTTGGGGATTCCATTTCTACGGTCCAGATGCCGCCGCGTGTCCTCCAGCAGCTTTTAACCAGTGACCGGTGGGACACTGGGTCGGCGGCCCCCACATATCACAGAGGCCCGCGTGCGACAACGCGCGCATTTCCCGCGGCAGGCCCATCAGACGACCGTTGGCTTAGGTGTCGCTTCCGGACACGTTTCAGTGTCCCATTCGTCCCAACAAGCGTACGGCCCCACGCCCATGGTGTCGGTAGGGAGCAGCCGCAGAGACACGTGGGGCACGCCCCCATCACATCTCTGGGCCCCACTTGTCTGTGGCACACAGCGTTGCCGGTCTGGCCCAGGCCCCTTCCGCGAGCTGCAGACTGCATTTATTAGACTGTCTCAGACCAAAAACTTTACATGGCAGCTAAACCTAAAATAGATAATAGATTTAAAATCAGTCTTCAAAAGAGTATTTATATGTAAAATCTATTTTATGTTACTTGAGAGGCACAACCCAAATATAAACATCCTCTCTCCTAAAAACTCATTTACAGAAAAGATTCTCTTTTGGATCTTATTATTAAAGAAGATGCCGAATATGTATTGAATCTTTTGCCAGTAGCGCTACATAAAGGACAAATAGGTCTTGTATTTTAGATGTTGTTGTTGG